ACAGACTGCTTGGAAAGTTTTGGGGGCTTCCCCCCCTTTCTTTTTTTCCTTTTTCTGAAGGAGATCGGGTTTGTGGTGGCAAACCCAGGAATCACCAGATGTAAGGTATTAGCACCCAGTGCTCAGTCCTGTTACATTAGGCACTACACAAACACAGAGCAGTCTGCAAATACATTTCGGGCTGAGCTACACCATCAGAGGAGCAAAGTTAGCAGAGAGAGGTGACTACTGCCCACATGCTGCAGGCAAGGATGATCTCCAGCTTGGCACAGAACAAGGAGTGCCAAGAAAAAGCCTGGGGGTGCAGGAAGGTGCCTTGGGCAGGACACATGCGGCTGGGGCAGCGCTGCGTTGCAGGAACACAAGGCAGCCACAGGCTCATAACCACGGGGTGGGGGGAGCTGCAACATGATTAAGACAGATACTAAAGCAACTCTTGTACCAGCAGAGAAGAGCTAACAACAGACGTTTTAGACCTTGTATTCGTGAAGTGTCTGGAAAAATGGAAGAAGCTGCTAAGACAGTGCAGGTTAGAGATCTAATTGGGAAGAAAAAAAAATCTTGTGAACTTGTTACTAGAGAAAAGATCAACTACTTCTAGGGGGCGAAGGCTTGAGTTGGGATCTGGACCACCAGGGAGGCAGGCGCAGATAAGATTAAGAAGAACAGATGGATCTGAAGAATCAGTACAGAGGCACAGCTGAGGTGCTTCACAACGGTAGTCAAGAATTGTTTGGGAAATACAAGAACCTCCTGGAACCCGCTCTAGAAACCTGCCCAGGCCTTTAAGTCTCCAGAAAGAGACAGCATGTCTTTCTGGTAGCACTACACCTTTCTCACGAGGCGCCCCGGAAGGCCGGGAGGTGCACAACACCCCCTCCTTCAGCACATTACAGACACTGAAAGGCCACCGGCGTCTCACGACTCTCCTTCCCGCAGCTGTAAGACAAAAAAAGCATTTCGTGCCCGCCGAGGGAGCCTGCAGGAAGCCAGGCGGTGCCAGCCCCCAGCGCTCTCAGCAAGACCCGGGGCCCGCGTCCCGGCCAGCGCTCCCAGCCGCCCAGCTCCAGCCGCCGGGGGCCTGCAGCCGGCGGGGGCACGGCCGGGCCGCCCCGCAGGGCCCGGCAGCTCCCCGCCGCCCCGGGGCACGGCGTGACCTTGCGGCGGGGCCAGGGCAAGGAGGGCCGGGGGCCGAGGGCCGTCCCCGCTCTGCTCTGCGCCGAGGGTGCCCCGGCCCGAGCCTCCCCGGCCCCGTGGCGGGGCTGGGCCCGGAGCCCCCCGAGCCCCCCGCGGCCTCGCCCGGCGGCAGGAGGCGCCCCCCCGCCCCCGGCAGGGCTCTCACCGGAGATACTGCGCGCACAGCAGGCTCATCCTCCGCCGCTCAGCCGCCGCCGCCGCGCCGCCCCGCCGCGGCTCTCACAGGCCGGGCCGGCCCCACGCCCCCAGGCCGCCGCCGCTGCCGCCGCCGCCTCCGGCCGCCGCCGCCATCTTCCCGTGCAGGGCCGCGGGGAGGGGCGGGAGGGGAGGGGCCGGGGACCGCGCTCCGGCCGGGCACGGGCCGCACCGGGAGGAGGAGGAGCTGCAACCGGAGCCGCCGCCGCTTCTGGTGCGGGTGCCGCCGCCGCTTCTGGTGCGGGTGCCGCCGCCGCACGGCTCCGTCCCGTCCCGTCCCCGCCGCCCCTCCGGGCCCTCCCGCCCCGCCGGCCGCACTTCCGGGCCCGGCCCCGCCGCCACTTCCGGCGGCGCCACCGGCAAAGCCTTCCCCGCACCTTCCCCCCCCTTCTTCCCCTGAGAGGCGGCCGCCGATTGGCTGCCCCGCTGCTATGGCAACCCCCGCAGGGGAGGGGGCCGAGCGGGCTGTCGCCATGGCAACCGCGGCGCCGGCCCAGCGCGGCCCCCGATCGGGCGGGCGGGGAGCTCGAGGCCCTGCCCCGCGCCGACATATCGCGACTCAGTGTGCGCGCACGGACGGGGCTTGCCTACAGCTGCCTCGCGACTGGGTTCGGGCCCAAACTGGGCAGGGCTTGGGGCTCTGCCTCCATCCCTCCTCTGCGTGGGCTCTTGCCTGCAGAGTGGGAACAAACCGGGCAGCACTGGGCAAACTGGGGCTGCTCTCACCTGCCCAGAGCTTGCTCTGGGGTCCAGGGTCTGCGTCCCCATCCCTTCGTCTGCCTCAGCCAAACCTTTCCACCTTTTTCCACCTCTTTAGAGGACCCCCTGCCCGAGGCTTCCTCTGAGGCAGAACAACACCGTACAGCATGGCTATAGCACAGCCACCAAACTGCAAAGGGTGCTCTGGAATGTCCTCTGCTTCCTGTACCCCATGGCAGCAAGGCCTTGGTGCTACCTACACTGTTATTATGTAAATTAGAAGGTGGCTGCAAGGACAATTTGATATATATCATTTTTTTTTAGCCACCATTAGCACCGTGATGGCCTTCATACGATGCAACTGGAGCACTGGAGCACTGGCTTGTCTCTGTGAGTCTGAGTGCACTTCTGAGCAGAACAGGTTGGGTCTGTCCAAACAGGAATTTTCAGTACTGCCTCACCCTAAACTCAGCTTCTGCATGTGGATTCAAAGACAGAAGCTTAATTTGAGGTGTTTTGGCTGTGTGGCACATCCAGGGTGGCACATTCTGGCTTCCTGCAACATCTGTCCATCCCACGCACATGGGTCTCATCCCTCATGCCACGTTGGGAAAAAGCAAGGAGTGGGCTGCATTGACTCAGTGGCTGTCTTGTTTAGTCTTGTTCGAGTCCAGTTCACTTCAAGAGCCACCTCAAAAGCCCCGAGAGAGTTGCGTGGGGCAGAACTGATTCCTGAATCTTGGGCAGCTTGCCACACTGGGGAACGAACAGCCCCAGTGTTTCTTATTAATTTCTACTCCAAACCTTTTTGGAGGCAAGGGGGTAATTTCCTTCCATTTAAGGAGGAGCCACAAGTCTGTCTCCACTTAGTTTTATTCAAAGAGAGTTGTGATAAAGGTCTTATCTTCAAAGAAGCAGATTTCTCAGAGAGGTCAGAGCATATTATAATTTTTATTGCTAATGAGTCAATAATTGTGGTCTACCATTTTATTAATTACTTGGTATTGGGAAGGATTTGATCCACAGATGAGCCCGGTTGACCAGATAGCCCAAGAACGCAGTGAATAGCAATGTATCCTGGCTCTGCAACACAGCCAAAATGCTGAGGAGTGAAGGGATCCTGATCCCAAAAGTGAATCTGCTTGGCATCCTTCAGCAGCCTAAAACACTGCAGAGCCCAAGGTGTCCTTTTTGTGAGTGTAAACTCTCCCCGTTTTCACATGGGGAGGTGGCCACCTGCTGACTCCCCACCTCAGTGTCAGACTTTGACTTGTGGATCTGTGAGACATCACACTGGGCTGCTGTTCTGGGTAAAAACCTGGGATCAAGGGAAGCTGAGAGTACAGGGCACAACAACCAGATGAGAAAACCCCAGATCCTCTGCCGATTTGGTGATTATTTCAATCTCAGTATTATGAATCTGGGAAATGAGCACTTGAAGCAATTGAAGAACTTGAAGGAAGAAACAAAGTATGAAGATACCTAAACAATCTCAATTTTGCCCTGTATCAGTCTCTCTCAGTAATTATGTTGCTGTTATTAAAATGTATTTGTTGTCATCCCAGATTTTATTACTTTTTTTTTTTAATCAGTGACATGTTAGTGACAAAAGCCTTGTCTTATCCTAATTATAGCCTCGTGGTTCCAAATACAGTCTATATGCAAAACTTTAGAAAATTTGAGTTTATATGGGTGTGTAAAGTCTTCATTGTTCCCTTGCAAATACCATTCCAGACAAAGAAAAAATGTGAGACAAAGAAAAAAAAATGTAAAAATGCTGCATTCCTTAAAGAAATCCCTTTTAATCCTTGTAATTCAGAAAGTATCTAATGGATTTACTCTTAATTCTGACAGTGTGCGCTGCACATTCTTGACAGAAGTACTTACACACTAAATAAAAGCCAAATCCCTCTTGGAAAGGAAGGACAAAGCCTCCATCTCGCAGCCCCAGTCTGCACAGCCCAGCTCAGAGCATAGCTGCAGATCAATCCTGCACGGCCGAGCTGTAACCTCAGACAGAATCGGGGACGGAAAAGTGCCAGCAGAGCTGATTGCATCTGTGGCCAATGCTCAGCTGCTGAATATAAGCAGGAGAGAAATCTGCTACCAAGCTGACCTTCCCCCAGAGATAGCCTGACGAGGCAGTGTCACATCCCAGGAGTGCTGGGGATGTTTGCAGAGGTGGCTGCACCAGGCTCTTAGGTCCACAGTCTCAGTGCCCCCAAGGGCCCCCAGCAGCTTCACCCCACAGCGCCCTGTGGCAGCTTTGTCCAGGCCACGAGCCAAGCGGGGAGCAAAAGCTGTTGAGCTGGAAGAGGTGCTCAGTGGTTCTGCTCAGGAATCTTCAGACCTCGGCTGGAAGTCACTCTGTTCACTGGGCAAGGGCCCTGCTCTGTCCTTCCTTGTTTGGATGTCTGTGCATGACTTGGGTCACCAGAAAGGGACATCCCGCAGGCTGTCCCATCCCGTGTGGCCTCAAACCTACCATAGCTCTGGCAGCTCCCTCCAGCTCAGCCACGCTTGTGCCACAGCAGCTGCCCCTGCGCTTCTAGTTTGTGCGCTCTGTGGTCACTGTCACCAACTGGCTCAGCTTGGCTGTCTCCCTTATGCTTTGGATTAAGAAAAAAATTGTGCTTTGTGCACCTTGCCTGAGCTTTAGTTTCTTTCCTGCGAAAGGAGGCAAGGCGCAGTGGAGTGAGGCGAGGAGCCCTGGGACCATCGCTGCCTGCGCTGTGCCCGGGCTGCAGCTGCTGCCTCTGCTAAAGGCGCCGGAGCATCTGCAGTGGGAAAGCAGCACCCCGGTCCCCGGGCAGCAGATGTGGGGCCGTTCTCCCAGCGCCCTTCTCCCCTCCCGGCCACCGGGGGGAGGCTGCGGGAGGCGGCCCCGGCCCCGGCCCCGCCCCGGCCCCGCTCCCCCCCGCTCCGCCTCCGCCGCAACCGCACCGAGACACAAAAAAAGCGGCTGGGGCCGGGCCGGGGCCATGACGGAGACCACCAAGACCCACGTTATCCTGCTGGCCTGCGGCAGTTTCAACCCCATCACCAAGGGCCACATCCAGATGTTCGGTGAGGCCCCGCGGGGGGGCGGCCGGGGGGGGGGGCACCGGGGGCGCCGGGGCCGGGGCTGTCCGCGGGCGGGTGGTGCTGAAGGCCGGGGGGAGCAGCAGCAGCAGCAGGAGGAGGAGGAGGAGGAAGAAGAGGAGGAGGCGAGGTCCCGGCCTCGCCAGCAGCCGGAGGCCGCCGAGGAGGACGGCCCCGCTGCGGGGAGCGGCACAAGGCGCAGGGGGGGCCCCGTTTGCGCTCCCCTTGTCGCGCCCCTGCCCCTAAGACCCCCGGGGCCGTCCCGGCAGTGTCCGCCAGCCTGCGGGCTCCGCAGCGCTTTTATTTTCCCCCTGGCTGGGGAGGGAGGAGGGAGGGAGCGGGCCAAGCGGCTACAGCCAGGTATGGCGTAAGGGAAGGAAAATACGGGCAGCTGCTGGAGGGATCGGGGCTGCCCAGCCGTGTGTGGCCGATCATCAGCCGCAGGGGTCGGACACGCCGGTGGTCGGTGTCACCGAGCGTCCGAGGGGAGCGCCGGGTGGCGGGGATGCCGAAAGCACTGCTCCAGCCTGCTCAGGGGAAAGGGAGGGATGGAGGGAGGCAGGGATGGAGGCAGGGAGGAAGGGCAGTCGCTGTCAAAGACAGGCTGGCGTGCCATAAATACTGACTGCCCGGATAAAGCTCGGGCTGCCTGGAGATCCCCGTACATCAGCCTGAGAACGTGGGTGCTGCGAGGGTGAGGTGTCCGCAGCCCACCGCCCCACGGCATGGAAGTGCAGAGATCGGCCGGCTCCTCGCACACGCCTGCCCAGGGCACGCAGAGAGGATCCATCCCTGATGGCTGGTGGGGGATTTCAGGCTGGAGAGCAGGTGCTGAAGGGCTTGTGCTACAGCTGGGGAAGCATCCCTGGGGTTTCTGTAAGCTGTACGCAGGTTTCCAAGAACAAAATAATAATAATAATAATAATTGAAATCAGCTAGGGGTATTTCTGCATCAGACCTTGTTTTTGTAGATTATCATGAGATGGTCAGCAGGGCAGAAAATAACAGCTTTCTGGATGCAAATGATCACATTGTGATTTCTTTTCCTAAGTGCCAGCAGATTTCCTGGACACCAATATACCCAAAACTTCAAAAACCCCATTCCCTAAGCTAAAACCAATTGCAAACAAAAAGGAACAAGAGAAACTATTTAAAAATCAAAACATAATTAAATGAAATTACAGGGTCTTGGTTGTGACCATTGATAAAACGGATTCCTGTAATCCATATTATTAGAGATGACGTTCTGATTAAGAAAGGTAAAACTAAAATAACAATGTGGCCCATATTCAATGGACTAAAAAAAAGTAACAACATTTATTTTAGAAAATAAGGGTCAGTAAAATAATGCTTTGCAGTTGACACACGAGATTTTTTTTCTTTTTTTTTGGCTCAGTGCTGTTCAGTATCTTTTATCAATGACCTGGAAGAAAATATATAATCCCCGCTGGTAAAAAGCGCCAATGACTCCAAAGTGGATAGAACAGGAATTAATGATGATAACGAGTCAGTTGTGCTGCCCGACGTGGTCTGTTTGATAGAAATGCCTTACTTGAACAGTGAAGTCAAATGCAAAGTCATGTGTACAGCGAGCAGGAAAGCACGTCACATATAAACAACAGGCAAACAAATGTCTTCTGCCAAACCGTGATGTTGTCAAGGACTGAGGAGCAATCGTACGGAGTGCACTGCATACAAACAGTGCGATGCTGTAGAAAAAACAGCTAGTGCAATCCTTGTTCATGCAAGCAGGGGAGTATCAAGCAGAAGAAGAGAGGTTGCCTCGTTTTTACATACTGCATTAGCAAACCCTTCCTGGAAGAACAGTAACGAGAATTGCATTAGCTCCGGAAACCAGGTTTTATGGTGAGAGCGGAGAGAGGCTCAGTCTAGATTTACAAAAGCCACAAAGGAGAAACGAGATCATGGCCTAGGGGTGTCTGCACGAGGGAGGGATGTGGGACCAGGGGGGGCTGCTTCTCTTGGCAGAGGAGGACTGATGACATGCCAGGAGCAGGTTGGGATGCCACACAAGTTCAGACTAGAAATCTGGTGTGTGCTGTTCAGTGAAATTAATCAAAGAGTAGAAAAAGACATTCAGGCACCTGGTGGATTTTCCGTCACTGGAAGGCTTTAAATCTGGACTCAGCAGTTTTCTAGGAAGACATGTTTTAGCTCAGAGAGGATGGCTTGATGTGGAAATTTTCTGTCTGTATGTCCTGGAGAGATTCTGGACTGTAAGGTCCTGAGAAACCGGGACAGGGACATGAGAGTCTTCTACAACTAAAGGACATGGAAATTAGTTCCTAAATCCCTGTCCATTTTTGTTTGAGGACTCCCTCACCCCCTTTTAAAAGAGGAATCATTTTAGGGCAGGGAAATCACGACCAAAACTTGTATTGATCCTTGAGCTCTGTGCTATGAGAGCCCAACAAAAAGAGTGTCCTGTCCTGTAAATGCTGTATTTCCAAGAGCTGAATTTGTGCAAAATGACTGTCTTTATTTTTTCAGATAAATATTTTGGCTTCATTGGCCTGTTACAGTTTGTTGCCTACCATAAAGAGATACCATTTATCTATTTAATTCATGGCACCAATTAAGCTGAGAGGACATATAAGACTTGCACTGGCATGCCACTATAGACATACCACTGTACGCCCATCACATGTCTCAGTCTGGATCGTATCGTGTTTTATTCAGGCCAAACCCCAAATTCAGGATTTTTTCCTGAATGAGAGGTGTTATTTGTTAGTTATTTGAAAGGCTCTTCTAATGGGGGAAATGTTTCCCCAGTTTCCCCTGAATGTAAATTTAAGACTCATTATCATGATGCTCAGGTTTCCGGGAAGCTGGGAACTTGTCCCAGCCCCAGACCTCCAGCTGCAGTCCGTGGCTGACCCTGGCATCCACGAAGGTTCTGCAGCCAGGCTCCTTCCCTCTCCACCAGTTCCATGGCTGGGTCACTGGGGCTCACCAAGCGAGCCTGATCTGTGTCTGTGCATATACAATAAACATCATACATAAAAGCTAATAATTAACACAAAACATAAACACTGCATATAAGGAAAAGGAGGTGAGATGCTTTGCTGTACAGCTGTCCGCTTTAAGGGCTTGCGACAACACCCACATAGCCCTGAAAACACTCTGAGTTATTTGTGGTGTTAGATGTGCTTTGAGATGTACGTGTATTCTGAGTCACAACTTTAAGTTGTATTTTCTAAATTTATGTGGCAACAAGAAACTCAGCCTAGGATGTGATGGGGGGAAGGAAAGCTGGGAGGAAAGAAGAGGGCAGAGGTGGTTTAATGAGGCTTTAACATGATCACTGGTGGGCTTCAGCCTGCGGTGAGAAGCACCCATCCTAGCCTCACTGCAGTTCTCCCCATGCGAGCAATGCCACCCAAAGGACAAGAGCCAATGGGCCAATGTCAAAAGCAAAATACTATCTGCATGGTGATGCAAACGGACCGGAGCCTGTGCTGGTGCTCTGCCAGCTTTGACAAGTAACGCGTTTCCCTGCCACGTCCCAGCACAGGGAACCCCAGCACAGCTGTGTCTCCTGCAGAGCACAAAACCACAGGGCAGCCTCCAGAGCAAGATGGAAAGCACAACTTAAATTAAAAAAAAAAAAAAAAAAAAAGTAGTTTTTGAAGGTAGTCTTGGGCATAGTACTGGGATTAAAGGTGTCCCTGTGCAAAGTCACAGGCTGCAGGGTCGGTGTGGTTCCCTCTCAGGGTGTTTCAGGGTTGGAGAGGGAGGTAATGAAGTGCTGGAGCTGTGGGGAAGAGCTTCTGTTGGGTGAGCTGCTTCGTAGCACTGCGTGGGAAAGGGCTTGTCCCATCCCATAAATGTACAAGATCTGTGGGGTTGTCCCGATAATTCCTGCAGCCGAACCTCAGGGACTGGAAGGAGGTGCATCAGGTCAATCAAAATTCAGTGTTTTAATATTGATTTTTTGTTTATTTGTTTTTCTTAAATTATAGAACAAAAGGTTACTCTCCAAATGCAATATTTCCCATTTTGGCACTTCTGACACACGTCAAACCTGACCTGCGCACTCCTCCATCCCTATTTCCCCCTCTGTTCATCAGGCTTTGGTTAGTGGAGCGTTTCCTGGCCCCTCTGCCCTGGCAGAGGATGGTTTCAAGCCCTGGTGGTACAGTGCTCATGGGATCCTGGAGGCTGGGGCACGGGGGATGCTCAGAGCTGGATTTGAAGGCAGCACTTTGGGCAAACCCCAAAAGGGACACAGTGCTCTTATTTCACTCTGTCAGAGGTGTCTGGTTTTATTTACACCATTTTTTTTTCTGCACTATCAAGCATTGATAGCAAACGGGTGATTTTAATTAAATCTATGGTGTCTGCCTGCATCCAGGCTTCCTCATCTGCTGCAGCTTGGTTTATCGAGCCCTAGGTTGCTGAGCATGGGCTCTCAGCACCCTACGCGCTTTACATCTATTTGGCCATGGATATGCCCACACACTTCATTTCACACAGCTCCAAGCCCTGGGCACAAGTAGAGAAGCAGAGCTTGTGCGTTGGGGGAATCTCAAGCCCTGAAATTCAGCAAATCTCCACTACCTTCCCTTCCCCACCCTTTTTGTCTAACTTGAACTGAACTTTCCCCATATTCGATGTGCATCTGTCGTTGAGGTGAGCTTGTATCCCAGCCACTAAGATGGGTAAAAAATCTCTCTGACACCATGAAATACAAGGAAGCAGTCTGAAATACAATACTTCAGCAAACAATGGCAGAGGGCTCTGCCATTAAAAGTAAAACTCTCCGGTGCTTTGCTTCTTAAGAGAATTTGAGCTATTAAAAATCCCAGCAGGCTGAGCCGCTCGCTGCTTGTTCAAAGCAGCCCCTGGAGCTCCTCTGCGCTACATCAGTGGGCTTTGTAGCCAAAAGGACCAAGCCTGGGAAGGAAAGGGGAAGGAAAAAGCAAGGGCTGAGGCTTTTGCCACTCTTGTGTTGTTTTAGTAGC